TGAACCATGGTCTGTTTTACCCCAAATTAGGGGTAAGTTGTTACAATCGACTCTTTTTGTTAAATTGTCCACTGCAAAAAATTACATGAATTTTAATAACTTTTCAATCATATTTCAAAATTCATTAAGAAACGAACAAAAAGTCGAAAGAACTTATCAACATTGATGAGAATATTTAGAGTTAGCCTTTTGATGAGGAGAAACTTGATATGTTGAATAAGGGTTTGAAATTTGGTTTGAGTCTCCAGGGAGACTTGCGAGAAACAAATTTCTAATGACTTGTCAAGGAAAACTAATGGTAATGAGCAAAAGAAAAACAGAAGTATTGTCGAAAAATTGAAGGAGAGAGATGTTTCCAATGTGAAAGCAGACAAAGGCACTAATGTTCTGATATTTAACATTTTTTACTTGGGAGAATTGATAATTTAATTGAGAACGGTCCCTATAATGAATTACCAAAGATAGTTTAAGTGTTAAAATTTGATCACATCGGCAATGAATATAATCCAGTCATCTTGGTAAGTTCATCAAGGATACCCAGCTATAAACTCGTATAAACTTGTATTTTGACATCCTCCAATTCGTCTCAAAATCTACAAATGGTAGAGTGTACCCGACTATTAAAATCTAAGGTCAAAGGTCACAATAATCGATTTTTTGCACATTTCTTGCAAATATCTCGTTTCCTATGGGTTTTTCGCTATTTGCATTCACCAGAATCGTAAAAGATTGAATGCCCTACAACTTTTGTTCCAAAAATGTTTTTGTACTTTGAATCGTTTTCGAGATAGAGGGCGGAAAGCGCGTAGTTAGAGCAACATTTAAGGTCAACCGGTAATTCCGGTCATAAACACGCCATATAAATTTTATCATTTACTGATGAATATATAATTATTATTGATTTTCCTTTCTTATCACCTATCACATTATATTCAATATTAATTTCACTTATCAATTAATATAGGAATGTAGACTTTCACAGTTGTTGTTGGTTGGTTTCCGAGTTTTGCCGTGGTCTTCTTTGGTTACAATCTGAAAAAGTTTCAACTACAACTGTGGCAGTCATCTTCAGTGGCGTGGTCGAAGTAGTCTTCTTGACGTATGTCGAACTGTTTTCAGTTGCTACGTCAAGAATTCTATTTTAAATACGCCACTGAAGATGACTGCCGCATTTGCAGTTGAAACGTTTGGAGATTGTAACCAAAGAAGACCACGGCAAAACCCGGAAATCAACCAAAATATAAGTATTGTTTCAATTAATAACACTTAACTGCCCAAATAGCTATCGAATTGTTGAGGAAAATACTTAAATTATATTTCAATTCTAATTTATTCAAATAATTAATTATAAAACAACGATAAAAATCAAATAAAAACAACAATAAAAATTAATTGGCGCTCCGGGGCGACTTCATTGTTTCCAGTGGCGCATTTGCTTTTTCAGCTGCAGGAAAACTCGGAAAAACCTGCAGAACCACATCATCTGAAGATCCTGATCTAACAATGTCCTCTCTCTTATAAAACAAAATGTAAGGTGTCTCCAGAGGCTCCAATAAATTCAATTTATAATAAAAAAAATTCTTAATCATTGTTGTTATTGACAAATATTCCATACATTAATGATTGTGGAAATTAAAAAAATTGAATAAAAATTACAAGAACTACAATTTTAATTATCTTCTTTTTCTTTTTCATCGCTGTAGTATTTCAAAGTCATTTTTCTATCGTCTTCAACGACATTTGTCCTTATGTCCTCCATTATTTCGGAGTCAAAGATTCTGTCTTCATTGACATCGCTTTGATATGCTGAAGCATTGAGACAAGCTTGTCCATATATTTTTGTTTTTATATGTCCTCTGCCGACTTTTTGAAGAAAATTTTTTTTTGAAAAGATGTACTGAAAATTTTTAATTCAAAATGTAATTAGTAGAAATGAGAATATAATTGAAATGTAATAAAAGTTTGTCCCTTAATTATTCTTCAATTTTAGGAATCGGTCATAAGTGTAAGGGGCCGTTCCGGTGATACGTAAGCATATTTATTACAATTATTTACCCCCCATCCCCCTTGTCAGCAAAAGTAAGCAAAGCTCTTACCCCCCTCCTCCAATGCTTACGTAAACATTGTTATATGCATTTTTCTTTAAATGTATTCTATTTTTTTTATTGATTCATGAGCAACAGTTATAAATTCCATTCAATATTCATTCGAACAAACAAATTTTTTTGAAATTTTTGGTTCACATATTAATTCCAATTAAGGCCTAATTCACACAGAACGGACGTCTGACAGAGACGAGGCTGGCACGGACGTGGCGGAAGTGTGGCGTATCCAATGCAAACAGAAGGGCTGGACACTGGCGAGAAAGGACGTCAGTAACTTGTTGGTTTTCTGGACTACAACATGGCTTTCTCAAGCAGTGACGAAGATATGTTGGATTTGGTGTTTTTTATCAGCAATTTTCTGCCAGGCCTGGTCTTGGGCACTTTTTTTACAACAATCAGCACGATTAAAATCAAATAAACAAGGATATTTGCGAACTTATTCGCAAAATTGTATGTTGGAGTCAACATAATTCCGCATTGTTGAGGATGAACACGTTGCGAGGAAGTAGCGTGCCCCTTTTTGTACGCCACAAGAGATACTGGAAAATATTTGACCACTGAACCATTTTCACGAGTTAGGGAACAGAAATTAATCCGAGGGGAGTAACTCTGGCGGGCAGGGTGCATGAGGTAGCTATTCAAACTTTAATTCATTAATTTTGGTTATTGCGATAAAGGATTTATGAGCTGGTGCATGATCTTGATGAAACAACACTGTTTCTTAGTCAACTGCGGCCATTTTTGCTGGATTTCTTCCCCGATTTTGCCGTTGATAGTTCAACCTTTTCAAAAATAGCCAATGAAAATTATCCCAGGCGCATCCCAAAAAACCGATGCAATGACCTTGCCTGCAGATGAAACAGTTTTCGCCTTCTTTGAAGCCGGTTCTCCCTTCTGAGTCCATTGTGTTGATTGTTCTTTTGTCTCGGGTGTAAAGTGATGGACCCATGTTTCATCCATGGTTATTAAACGAAGCAAAAATTCTGCTTTGTTGCTGTGAAATTTCGCTAAACACTATTGAAACATCTTCACGACACTGTTTTTGCTCGAGTGTGAGTAAACGCGGCACCCATTTTGCACACAGCTTTCTGCTGTCCAAATTATCAGAGAATGTATGATGTACCGCAGTCTTTGAAATGCCTACTAAGTCTACCAGCTCGTGAACTTTCGGTCGACGATTATTAAGTACCGCTTTGTGGATTTTCTTCACCGTTTCTGGAGTCGTCACCTCATTTGATCGACTATGCGATGCTCATCTTGGCAGTTCGTACCGTCTCGTTTAAATTCTGCAACCCAATTTTTTACTAGTGTAAACAAAGGAGCGGACTCACTCAGAGTTGAATCCAGTTCAGCTTTTATATCGTTTGAATTTGAACTTATCAATTAGTATAGTATAATTATCAACTACTTCACTTTCTTTTGCTGGGTAGAATGTAAAAGAAGTCTGCACACTAATATTTGATTGCAAGAGGAATTCAGTGCATAGCATAATGTCAGCTCGTGTCGCAAAGTGATTATTGAGATCAGTCGGAGAAGGCATATATTCACACGACTCTGTAATTTCTTGCATGTGATATTGTTTATATGTTTCCAGCAGGTTTTAAGATTGTTCTTAGATTCCCTAATTTCATTATTTATTGTCATCCTTCTGTGTTATACAAGATCTTCATATTCATGTTTATTCTTTTTCAAACTTTTTGTTATATGTCTCAATTTCATCAATATGAATTCTTCCTGATTTTATCATAGTATTGAGAATTTCCATTTCATTTTTTATGTGTTTCAGTTGCTGATTTGAACTCAAGATGTGTTCTGCAGAAAAAGTTTTTTCTTTCACAGTTATTCTTGGAAAACATATGTCGAAGTGGTAATTGAATGTATTGCAAAAGATCTGGTGAAGGTTATTGCATCGCTGGTGTTGTATACACCAAGCCAATGTTCTGCTTGTAATCTGTAGACAAAAAAAAATCTTACCAGTATAGCCAACGATGAAAGGCTTTATCGATTCATGAAAGTGAGTACATTCGCGACTACGTCGCTTGTGGACTGAACTATTCCACTCGTCGATAAAGCATTTCTTCATTGTCTCTTATAATAAACAACTATCGTTCATACCACATCTCTGAAAATTTTATTCGAATAATTTTCGAAAAGATACAGGTTTTCTAAAGAGATATCAAAGTTAGAATAAGACAGATACTAATTACAAGACCAGTGGATATTCTTGAAGAAACTTCCTGGTGATTACAATAATTCTTGTTGCAGGTTGAACAGGAGGAGAATCCTGTTTTCATAACAGATGAACAGAAATTTGGGTCAGCACAACCTCTTGCTATTGTACCTGAAAATTCAAATTGTCATTGAATGATTAAGAATTGTTATGTCAAAAATTTCAGTGAGCAACATCACGTCAGTTGCTGAAAACTTCGTAGGCTAATACACATATGGCGCTACTAATATTAAATCCAGTTTATCCTAACCTTTCGTGTGTTATTGAAGCATTGCATTTTGGGAAAAAATACTATTGAAGTCAAGGCTTGGCCTTATGAGCAGTGAACGTTCCAAAGAGTCTGTTACCGACGAAAACATAAAAAAAGTTCATAAAATAAATTTGGATTACTGCAAAGTAAAGTTGATCAAGATAGCTGAAGCTCTGAAGATATCAAAGGAACGTAGACATATCGTTTATGAATGTTTGGGTATGCGAAACCTCTGTTGAAAGTGGGTGCCGCGTCAGTGTAATACCAAGCGAAAGCAATGTATGGTGGTAATATATATTCTAATTTCGGAAAGAGACATATTTCTTCAATTCAGATTTTTTCAAGCGCCGGATCTGTCTCTCATACAACGTAAGATTACGGCCGAGGGATCGAGAGTGTTTATATAAACACTATTCATCGGCGTAGTTTGAAAAGATGCACGGTCAGATATATTTGTCACGTAGCTCAAGATGTAAGTATGGGCCTGTCAATATCCCAGCATTGAAAATTTTGTCAACTCAGCGAAAAATGTTTTTTTTTGGTGACCTCTGTTACAAAGAATGGTTTGAGGAACAGAGGGACGATGAATCCGTCCTGGCTTTTTGGAAGGGAAAATACAGAGAGTTCGGGGAGCTCTTCGCCTGGAGGCAGAGCGGTCTTAGAATGGTGCGAAAGTTTTTTCGGGAAGTAAGTCTGCTTACATTTTGAGGAGGTTCGAAAACTTGGGAGTTTGAAGGGTTCTCTTGACGGTCGATCAAGGGCGGTATTTTGTTTTGGAAGATAATTTTTGTGGGTGGAATCATTTTTTTTATTCTTCCATTCCGAAAGAACAGCAAGTGGTGAGATGGTGAGTGGTGAGATGGTAGTAAATCTTGAACATTCTACTTATTGCGAATGTTTGGGAGGTGTCTCTTTCTACTGTGGGGACTTTTGAAAAGGAAAAGGTATCATCCATACAAAATTAAAATGGTACACCAATTAACTGAAGATGACCCTGATCGAAGAACAGAATTCTGCGAAATCTTGACGGAAACCATTGTAAGGCATCCTACCTATCTCCACAATATTTGTTTCAGTTACGAATGTACATTTTTTTCAAACGGCATGTTCACAGACAAAATTGCCGTTATTGAAGTGACACCAACCCTCACGTTTTCCGGGAATCACATAACTAATATCCAGAAAAAATTAACGTTTGGGCAGGAATATTGGGAAACCATATTGTAGGACCTCTATTTATTGATCAAATTTCAACAAGGGAACTGTATTTGAATATGCTGGAAACTACTGTTGACTCTCTCATCACTGAAATCGTCGAAGCGAATCCTAATGAATTCGATATGGACAGATAAGTAAAAAAATATTTGGATACTACTTTTCCCGGTCATAGAATTAGACGTCTAGGTCCTACAGAGTGGCGGGTTGGCTGTCCTTGGGTCTGAACTACTGGGCATGCTGTTTTCGGCAAGTGCTTTGGCGTAGGATGTGGGGGTTGAGCAAACCGGCCATCGGATGCCTGCTTCCACGTAGCCCCGCTGGATACGGGAATGACAGAATCACGTGTGGGAATCTTGCAACTTGATAATCCGACAACCTCATTAACGGCCAACCAGCTGGAATCTCTTCAGGGGGCTATTTTGTCGGCTGTGGAGGTTATTCCAGACGGTGGGCCGCAGGTTCAATTCCAGAGCTGCGTCTTTCAGCCTGGATGGTTACAGGTAGTCTATGAGGATCAGATTAGTGCCAACTGGCTTGCGGGGTGCAACCGTGGGAGGGTGCTTCCCTGAAATGCGTCACAGGGGACCATCTTCCGAAGCCACACATCTGTGTTGCTTACTTACCTGACGGAAGCAATCATAGACTGACCTCCGAACAGGTCCTCACTAGATTGAGGAAAATGAACCATGGTCTGTCAACCTTGGAGTGGACGATCCTCCAAATGGAAAAGTCAGGCCCTGGTCAAACATGGACCTTCGCTGTTGACGATGGATCCATGGCCGTGCTGGCGAGGACGGGTTTCAGACCACATTTTGGTTTTGGGCAGGTATTAAACCTGCCCTAAAACCCGTTCGCCCTAAAACCCGGCACCCTCCCAGCAGGAAACTACTCAAACGAGTCACACTAGTGCACCTGTTAGAGTAAATAAGGCGGGGCTGAGTGGAAATCCACCTATGGGGAGGAGTTCAACCAAATCTCCACCGAAACATAGGGGTAAACCACCGGCTCACACCCAGCCCAAGGCCGGGAAAACAGGTGTTTCTCAGGAGACGAAGACGGCCAACGTCTCGTCGAGTAAACTGGGCAAAAAGGCTGGATGTGGCTCTCTGAAAGCGAAGACGAAAATCGTCTCGTCAAAGAGATCCAAAAAATCAGCAGGCAACTCAGAGACAGCAGGTGTCTTCACTTCATCATCTGAGCCTACACATCCCTCGATCCCGGAAGAGGAGGGTGGGGGTGTCCTTAAGGACCCCGCATCTTCTCCCTCCTAGGGTCGAGGAGTTTTTAAGTTTGCGGCAACACTTGTTATCTTCAAGTGTTTGCAGGCAAACTTACAAGATGCCAAGGCCGCTTCATACGTCCTTGGAAAAAACTTCAAGGATGAATAATCGACCTTGCCTCCCTGCAGGAACCATGGACAGGAAATACAGGCCAAGAAACCGGACTGAGCAATATTCCTGGTGAGGTATTAGCGTGTCCTGGGGTGAAACCCAGAGCATGTCTGGTCATCAGGAAAGGTATTAACCATTTTTTGCTTACAGCACTTCTGCACCCAAGACGTGGTAGCCATCCAAATTTCCCTATCGGGCAAGAAGGGTAAGACGAATTTTATCGCCTGCTCCGCCTACTTTCCGGGAGATTCGGATACTGTACCTCCTCTTGCTGTTAGACGACTTATCGACTATAGCAAAAGGAACAAACTTTAAATAGTAATGGGACGTGACACCAATTCACACCCTACAGCGTGGGGCAGTACGAATATAAACCGTAGGGGTGAGTTATTCTTTGATTATATACTTGGGAAGGGGCTGTCTGTAATTAATGAGGGCTCGGATCCAACTTTCGTCACTAGTAATAGGCAAGAGGTATTAGATTTAACTATCAGCTCACATTCATTGAGCAACAAGATACACCATTGGTCTGTATCTACTGAACCTTCTTGTTCAGACCAAAGATATATTCTTTTCAATATTGAAACAGGTCTAAGACCAGTGCTGGAATATCGTGACTCAAAATCTACTAACTGGAGGGGAGATAAAAACTCCCTCCAATCGTACTTTGAGGACGGATTCAGTACTATTCACAGTTGTAATGATATGGGTACAGTAGCGACGCAATTTCGCGAAGCAGTGATCTCATCCTATCATGAGAACTGTCCACTGAGGGTCAAAAGAGATAACCGCAACTGTTCTTGGTGGAACAAAAGCCTTGAGAATAAAAGACCACTATTCAATCGAGCTAAAGAGTCATGTAACTGGGAGCTTTATAAAACCACTATAACGTCATACAACAAGGAAATTAGAAAGGCAAAACAGGAGTCTTGGAGGAAGTTCTGTGAGAGTATCTCTGATTTACATCGCAGCGTAAGAATTCATAAGATTATCTTTAGAGGGCCGTCTGCTGAAATTGGGTCGCTTAAACGACCTGATGGAACACTTACGACCTCTAGTAAAGAAACGTTAGAGCTTTTGATAGAAAACCACTTTCCTGGAAATCTGACTCTTGAAAACAACAGACCGCCCATCTTCGAGGGCGTGAACGCCCAAAAAAGAACGACTGGGACATCGAAAGAAAGGTTATCACAGCACCGGCAGTTGAAATGGGCCATCAAGCCTTTTCAGCCCTTTGAATCTCCCGGAGAGGATGATATATTTCCAGCTCTTCTTCAAAACGGACTGGAAATAATTTTACCTATTCTCACAAAATTGTATAGAGCTAGTGTGGCGTGGAACTATATACCACCCAGTTGGTTGGCAGCAAGGGTGGTATCTATACCTAAAGTGGGCCGGAGAGACCCACACCCCAAATCGGTACCACCAATCAGCCTTACATCCTTCCTGCTGAAACGACTTGAGAGGATGTTGGACGGTCATATCAGAAGGGTAGCATTATATGCATCCCCACTGAATAACCACCAGTATGCTTATCGAACCGGAAAATCGACAGATTCAGCATTAAACAACCTCGTTGAGAAAATCTCCCAATCCCTTGACAACAAGGAGATTGCGGTTGATGTATTCCTTGATAGTGAAGGAGCATTTTACAATGCACTACCTAAATCTATAGGATTGTCTCTGGCTAGAAAGGGTATAGAATCGACCATAACTAGCTGGATCTATGCCATGCTAGTAAACAGAACTGCAACTACCACTCTTCAAGGCGAGGCTATTAGGTTCAGGGTCACCAGGGGCTGACCTCAAGGTGGGGCACTATCTCCCCTTCTGTGGTCGCTTTTGGTGGACAGTCTGCTTGATGCCCTCGACAGAAGAAAAGTTGATCTGCAAGCTTATGCAGATGAACTTGTAATCCTGCCAAGGTCCACGTCGGGAAGGGTAGCTTATAATATCCTCCAAAGCGCGTTGGACGTTGTTCACAGTTGGTGTCTGAGGGAGCAGATGTCTGTCAATCCCAGCAAAACTGTGTTAATCCCCTTCACCAAGAGAAGGAAATTGGACGATCTAACGCCACTTTCCCTCAATGGTGTGGTCATTCCATTTGGAACGGAGGTGAAATATCTTGGCATTGTCCTTGATGAAAGACTCACCTGGAACGCTCCCTTGGAAAAAGTTTTACACAAAGCCAGACTGTCTCTATGGACATGTCGAAGGATTTGTGGGGAAACTTGGGGTTTAGGTCCCAAACAAAGCCATTGGATTTATGTGATGATTGTCAGACCAATGATCACGTATGGTACAATTGCTTGGTGGCCGAAGGCTTTACAGAAAACGGCCCAAGCGAAGCTCTCTGGCTTACAGAGACAGACTTGTCTGTGTTAAAAGTTAAACAGTGTCTACCGTTTTTTAAGACAACATAAAATATAAGGTGGTCATGCTGTGATGTCATATGCTTGTCATGCACTACTGTCACTTTTGTCTAAAATAAATAAAAATGTAAAAATGTCAATAAAACTCTCAGTCATTTTCCTATAAGTAAAAGAAAAGGAGTCACGCTCAAAGCCAGAATAAATCAATATTCAAACAGTCTGGCTATCAGTGGTGCCATCAGTAACACACCGTCAGCGGCCATGGAGATCCTTCTAGATCTACCTCCTCTCCACATGTTTCTGGAAAGGGAGGCTAGATGGACTGCATACAGACGTGTGCACATTGCCAATTGCACAAATAAATTCAATGCAGTCAATGCAAAGTGCAACAGACTGTTGGTTGACATTGGAAGTCACAGCATTCTGGAAATGACCTCTCACTTTATGCCTCCAACTGTCAACTACGAACTGCCTTATAAAGTACTATTCCCGAGTAGAGAGGACTGGATCCTGCGGGAGAAGGAAATATTAAGAGCAGGTAGAGTTTTCAGTCGCAGACCCAGGACAGAGTTATCTACCTGTCTAGGAACTTATGCGACTGTATTTCAAGCGGAAATTTACGCTATTGAATTGAATGCGGAGAGATTGGATAAATCCAACCTCACACACAAGTCAATAAAAATATTCTCGGACAGTCAAGCTGCGTTGGAAGCTCTTGGCTCCCACCGAGCAACGTCTGAAATGGTAGCAAACTGCCAAAAAAGACTTTCCTCGGTAGGAAGACTGAACAGATTCTCTCTGGTCTGGATTCCTGGTCATACTGGCCTGGAAGGCAATGAAGCTGCTGACTCGCTTGCAAAAGAGGGTGTGCTGCAAGCGGCTTCATTGGACCAGAACTTGTCAATGGCATCGCTTTGGGCTTTGCCAAACAAACACTCAACACCTGGATGGCAAAAAGAGTTATGGACTTCTGGCAGAATCTTTCAGGATTGGCTCTCTCCAAGGCGTTTATTCACCCTTCGAAGCTTGATTCCAAATAGTTGTTGGACTACAGTAGGAATGAACTACGATGTCTAACAGGCCTCCTTACATGTCACTGTGATTTAAATCATCACATGCAGAGACTTGGACTGTCGGAAGACAGTGTGTGTCGCCTCTGTCTGGAAAATAATGAAACTGCAGAGCATATACTTTGTGTCTACCCCGCTGGAGACAGAATCAGGTTATTTGATCATCTGAAAGAACAATTCGTTCAGGCCAGTCTCAACACCCTACACAGTAGGTTAATGGACTGACACCTATCAGAAAACAACTACTCCCCTGGCTAATACCACGAAGGGCGTTGGATTATATCCCACAGGTGTCAGTGCAGGATTCTTCACTGAAGTTATTCCTGCATATGCTGTTGGCGATACAACCGCCGCAATAGATTTTCAATTATTGGAACACACTTGCAGACCGGTTTCGGGCTGATTGGCCACTCGTCAGTGCAAGGTAGTGTATATCATCAACATAAAGTCGATGATTTCCGATAATTGAAAATCGAATTCCGTCAGAGTATCATTTCTCGAACTAAGCTGAAGACTACAACAAACAACAGGTTTGTCGCCAGGGGAGTACTTGTTTTCTGATAGGTGTCAGTCCATTAACCTACTGTGTAGGGTTTGAGACTGGCCTGAACGAATTGTTCTTTTAGATGATTTGATTTATAGCCAGTCTTCAAGTATGCCCACTGACTATACGTGACAGCTTATTTGAGTTCGGCAGATCCGTACTCTCACCATCTGACCTGAAAGACCACTCACCATATAAACTAATCGGTTTCGTTGAGAAGCAGGGTTTATTTGGCCAAGTGTGAATAGGTGTGAGCCACGATAAACCCTTATGGGTTGCGGTAGAGGGTCGAATAGAACCACTCACTTCAGACCTACCCACCTACCTACCTACAGAATGGCCAGCCCACTCACCAGATTTGACACCTTTGAACTTTTTTATGGGGCTATTTGAAGCAAAAGGTGTACGAAACTGAACCTGCTTCAATATTGGATATACGGAAGAGAATAATAAATATTTGTAGAGATATTGACGTTACTGTGTTACTGTTCGGCGTGAAATATCGGATAGGATGTTCATATGTCAAGAAGTTCAAGGCAATCATTTCGGGCATCTTCTGAACCGACATCAAGCTCATTACCTAATATTTTGTAGTTAAATGTCAATGTATTCAGGTAATTATTAAAAGTTCCGCCATTTTATAGTAGTTGAAGATATTGACTTCATATTCTAGGGTTGTGAAGTATTCGTCAGGAGCTTCAAAATGATGTGCCACAATGTCACAAGATTCCCCTTTCCATTTAATTTTTTTCCCAAATGGCGTCCAGTCGCCATCTTGAAAGTTTCATGTGTCAATTTTACTTCAAAATAAAGTATTCATGCATTAACTTCATTATGCCAAATTTCAATTTTTTGTATTGACTCATTCAAAAAATAAAAGGGGGGACATTAAAGAAATGCACTGCAATGCAATAGTACAAATGAGGAAAGGTATCATCGTCTCTAGAATCATGCAAATTATAATCGCTTTAGAGCATAATAAGGAAAAAAAACTTGATATTAAGTTATATGAAAATGCTTCATATGTAAAAGATACAACAGTAATCTAGTTGAAACCCTTGTAGATCATCTTCCTAAGCAGCAGGGATTTAGTTGGCCTATTGTTCCTTAAAGATGGAACAAAAGTTTATTTTGAACTCAATTATTATTTTGGTGCCTTCGGAAGTTTTCCAATTTTTTTTAATAAAGATGGAGAAGTGGAAGTAGAAGCTAATATCACCTAAAAATATACGGCTTTCAATTCAAATTGACAATTATTGAAGTATTTCGGTAGATGAGGAATATGAAATCTAAATGCAATCAGACTGATCAATTTAAAAAAAAATACTTACGATTGGTTGAATAGGTCATGCACTGGTTGAAATGAATTGAATAATTAGAACACTTGATGAAAGGAACTCTTTTCAAATTTATTTCACAATCATCTCTTACATTCCTTTTGGCGTTGCAACTGTAGCAGTGAATGGCTGATACTGAAAGTAATGACAACTTTGACTGCTCTAGTTCTTACTGTTACATGAGTTACATAGTTGCTAAAGTTTGAGAACATCCATACTTGACATTATTAACTATATAAATGATCTTAGGTAAAGTAAAATGGTCTGTCAGTATTAATTGAAAACGTCTATTTTTTCTATATGTGCAATTTGTAAAAGTTGATATTACCACACCATGGTATGGGATGGGATGGGATGGGATGGGATGGGATGGGACGGGACGGGACGGGACGGGACGGGACGGGACATGACGGGACGGGAAGGGAAGGACGAGACGGGACGGGACGGGACGGGACGGGACGGGACGGGACGGACGGGACGGGCCGGACGGGACGGGACGGGACGGGACGGGACGGGACGGGACGGGACGGGACGGGACGGGACGAGATGTTTTCCGTTTGTCGAAGTTGAATGTTTCAGATATGATTAATTCTAGAAATGAACTTTTATGTAAGTTACATCCATAGACTGACGAAGAATAACATCAGAAAAGAAATTATAATACGAATCAATCAACAATACAAATGATAAAAGGGTAACTGATCGCTGTCTGTATATGGGAGATATTTGAGCAGGACTAACATCGACGCTCCTTATCGATTAAATAGAATCAAAAACAATGTTTTAAAGAATGTTTGATTTGATAATATAAAATATAATATAAAAAACGATATAACCGATTAGGATGCGGTTTTCATGTATTTTGGTCAAATCATAATTAAACAAGTTATGTCATTTTAAGAAGTACGTCATTCGTTCACAGTTAGTCATCATCAGAAGATGATACTAATGATGGTGGTAACTTGGTTAACGAAACGAACACAGTTTTTTGTTCTGGTGGTGGAGAAGCGTTTTCAATGAATGAAAATATTGTTCATTTGATTCATCTGATACTTCACTTAAGTGTTACAAAATCTGAAAAAAAATCCCAAACACGAATTCCACGCCAACGATATCGTGGGCTACAAATAATCTATTACATGTTTTTCAAATATGATGTGTACAAAAAATGAAGATAAAAATCCACAATTGTTATGAATAGTGATGGTTTATCAAATTTCACAGTTATATAGGGTGTTTCCTAACTACGGTACGAAACTTCAGAGAGTGATTCCATCGGTCGTTTTAGGAAAAAAGTTTTTATGAACATATGTTCGGGGTTGCTTCAATAATGAGACACAGGGCGTTGAAGTTTAAAAAAAATCGGTGTTAATGAAATATCATAAATATCCTTATACCGATTTGGTTGAAATTTTTTACAGTAATTTGAAGTAATAATGCACTTATTCAACCATAACTGTATTGAAATCATTAGGTCCAGTGGAGTCTCAATGGGCATCAAAGCCAACAATATTGGGAAATAAAAGAACGCCACTGACTTGTAGTTTTTAATTTTTTCAGAATAATCAACTAAAAACACAAATGTTTTGTTGCTTGTGATTTCTTGATATCTAGCTTCGTTTTCAAGAAAAAAATTGAAGTTACTTTGCATATGATGAACACCTGCTTTGGAGACCAGTTGACAGTGATAATGTTGTCATATCAGTAAGAGTCAGAGTTGTCAGTTAGCAGTGATTCCATCATGAATAAGTTTTCAATGCTGAAATGGCTGACATGCACTTCATTTACACATTAGCAAGAGGAAGAAGCACAGATAATTTAACAGGACATATATCTCAACAGAGTAATTATATGTGCCAAAACATTCAGAACGCTACATTCAAGATGGAAGACCAGAAACTGTAACAACGTCTGAACTAGAAGAAGCTAAATTTGATGCGATAGAAGAAGATCCTTGAAATAGGAACCAGGAAGATTGCACTGCAACTGGAAGTCAGCCCAAAAACCGTATAGACAGTTCTGAAAAGAAATCTTCACACCCATATCACATACAGCGAGTCCAAGATCTACTGCCTCGGGATTTTCATCCAAGATTGTTTCACAGGTGGTTGATTCATACGATGGCACAAATAGTAAAAGAAAGTCATTTTCAGCAACAATTTTCGTTGAACGTTTGGGTAGGAATAATTGATGACTACCTAAATGGCCCATTTTTTCTACCGGCAACAGGTGAATCCTACACGGACTTTTTGCTGGATCATTTACCCATTTTTAGAAGAAGTGCCGGTATTTATGGTGAATAAACTCATTATTATTATTATTATTTTTAAGGGGCAACATGTCTTGCTCGTCAGCATTTCGAGGACACCTACCCTAATCGATGGATTGGACGTGCAGTACCTCAAATTTGGCCAGCTCGCAGTCCTGATATGAATCCTACCTATACATTTCTATTTATGGGGTCTTCTAGAGGCTCTTGTTCATAAAACCCCTTTGCTAGATGTGAATGACTTGGGGAATCGAATAATTGACAATTTAATTGACTATTGCAATGTCATAAGGAATACTCCAGGTATTTTTGACCGTGTCAGACAATCAATGACAAATCGATTACAGTCATGTATTTTATCTGAAGGTGGACATTTTGATAATTTTCTTAAAGGTTGAAATTGTTCATTATTTACTTATGGTTTTTATTTTATGTTGTCCATGGATACTTTTTAGAAGTGATTTTTTTTCTCGAAAACGAAGTTTGATATGAAGAAACACAAGCGACAATAAAGTTGTACTTTCAGTTGCTTAATCTAAATGAATAAAAAAGAACTACAAAAAAGTCAGTGGCGTTCTTTATTTTCTCAATATTGTTGTATGTTGCGCCCACTGAGACGCCACTGGACCTAATAATTTCAATCTAGTTTGCGCTAAATGAGTGCCCTATTACTTCAAATAACTGTAGCGAATTTCAACCAAATTGGTTTGAGGATAATTATGATATTTTATAAATATAGTTTTTTTTATTTTAAATCCCCTGTATCTCCGAAATGAAGCAACTTTGGACATATGTTCATAGACACTTTTTTTCTCAAAACGACCCAACGAATCACCTTCTGAAGTTTCGTACCGTAGTTAGGAAACACCCGGTATACTTAATATTCTACCAGTCATAATATAATAAATTACTTGTATACATCTCTATAAGCTACATGTTCAATTTGGTTAGTTTTGCACCCCTTTGAATACCTGATACTCAAAAATCAATATCGATATCATTTTCAAATTTAATATCTACTCACCATCTTGAATATTGATATACAACAAACATGTTAGAAAAATATTCGATATTATTTTCATTGTTTTTCAAGAGTATTTCTGATTCACTTGAACTAACGAAAAATCTAGTTGTATAGCACTAAATATCTGATATAAAAAGACACGATGAAGATTATCTGGGTTTATCAGTTAGTCAGAACTATTTGATGAAATTTTCCTGAAAATGCCTTATCAATATATTTTTAGAATATGAACACCGATAACGTTCTAAACGATTACTATGAAAATCGCGTATATCATTGTCGGTAAATAAGATTTTGAAATAAATGTTTTTGAATAATCTATTGTAAAAACCAACGACCAATGAATGTAAAGTTAAGAGAAAGTAATTTCTGAACTATTTGAATGTTTTAGAGATACAACAAATTATAAATCAAAATTACTGTAACCAGAATATTATGCAAAATCTATCACATCAATACCACTATTTTCCTACAAGATTGAAAACTGTTTCTTCGGTTTCTGGAGTTCTTACTTCGATTTGTAACCAAGAGTTGAACTATATTTTTCAAAATTTTCATGTTTTCTACAACCAAACGTAATACCGTGGGTTGGGCTACCTATCGGGCGCGTCCCCAGGTGGCGGTTAGGGAAATGGCCAGGCGACTGGGAGCTCTGTCCGGGAAGCCAATGTGGCCTTATGGACAGGGTCGCCGGACTCCTGATCAGTGGCAGAAATAAGTAGGGTGAGGGGAACTAAAACTCCCCAAAAGCAAAGACTACAGAATACTATAAGACGTGTCACTCGCTCATTTTTCGACATCTGAGAAATTTTGATTTCCGGAAGTCGAGAGGTGTCCGTCGGTGGTTTTGGGTCGTCGAAAGGTCGGGTTGAGAAAAATTAATTAGAAGAGAATTTTTTGTGGGGAGATAAAGTCGGAACACTAGTAAATTATTCGAAAGAAAGGGGCAAACGAGAGTTCAATCGCGAGTTATTCGAATAGTGTGGTATTCGAGGTACTTTTGGGAGTTTGGGGAAAAAACCCGGTTTTTCTTTTTTTTTCTTTTTGATTGCCAGTTCAACTGAGTGAAATTTGGTTTTGGTGTCTTATGGTAAATTCAGTGAAACATAAAAGGATTAGCCGCTATCTACAGCTAAACGGAGAAAGAGAGCTATTGGTAAGAAAGTTTTATTGAAATACTGTGGGTGAACATTTATTTAAATAGCTTGTATCATATAGAGTTGCCGAATACATGGCATGTTTATGAATATTCAATCGCATGCCGGTTGAGCATTCTCTTATGGTCTGACTAGGTTAATGTGTTCCTTTTGATGGTTGCGTTTTTTCTTTGTTTATTTTGTCGTTTTCATCATAGTTGTAACTGTTGCTATTCTTATATTTTTTTATTATGCTTATTGAATTTGAATACGGTGTATTATTGCCGGTAATTATACTGGTATGAGAGACAGGGGAAAAAGTGTAACGTAGAGTATATTTATATTTCACATAAAATAGGGGAACTCCCTAGGAAAAGCTCTTATAAGAGGAATCAATGGCATATCCTGACAAAGCGCCTGGAAGGACTTAAGTGAAAAAATTTTCTATTCTAAAACAGTGCCTATTTGATAAGGAGAAGCTAAGCCAAACCTTTGGAGGGTGATTACTTCTGCAGGCCACATCTAAGATAGTTCTCTAGTAAGTATCATTCTCCATTTCTAAATTTCAAATGGTGACAGCGGCTGCTCTAATTTCAAGTTTGGCTATAGTTTTCCCTATCAAAACTGATGAACATAAAGATCAAACCCATCATGGGGGTTACAATTCAAACAGGTTACGGGCCCAGCTGAGTGCCGGCATGCTAACCTAAAAATGACGACCAAAGAGCATGAATTGAGCAATATCCAAATAATAAATGGACAAGACACCTTTGAAATATGGAATTACTCTGTTACCGTTTTGTTTAAGGCAAAGCAACAGTGGGGCATTGTATCTGGAACTGAAACTAAGCCTGATGCTCATGAAACAAAGCCAGATCAAGTCAAGGCCAGAAATGTCTGGATTGCCAAGGATAATGAAGCCCAATATATCATTGTGCGAACTCTGGACAAGTCCATTTTGTCTCACATTATGGCATGCAGTACATCAAAAGAAATGTATGACACATTAGTAAGCATTTATAGAAGGAACACTACCCATCATAAGCAAAAGCTCTTGCTAGAATTTCATTCATACAAGTTCGACAAAGAGAAGACTACCATGGATAATATCAGTCATCTTAAGTACATAGTCTTCAAGCTTTCACAATTCAAAGAACAAGTAACTGAAGAAATGTTGGTTACAAAGATTCTTGCCTCACTATCTGAACATTATCATTCCTTTATAAGTGCCTGGAAATCAACACCACAAGCAACAGCAGCAGCTTTTAATGCTGAAGGTAAAGCGAAGAACAAATCTAAGAATAAAAATGGAGATAAAATAGTGTGTCATAAATGTGGTGAAGATGGCTATAAAAGACCACAGTTCCCACAGAAGAAATATTGCAAGACTTGTCGTCGCAATAATCAAAATGAAGATGAATGCTTCGAAAAGAAAAATAAAACAGGACAACCAACTACCGGCTCTGCAAGTTCAAATGTCAAATGCATCTATTGTGGAAGAAACAATCATGCATCAGAAGACTGCTTTTACAAAAATGCACATCAAAAGAAAAATGAGAAAGCTGCTTTTTTCGCTGAAACTGTTGATCAAGAAACACCAATGAATGAAGCCCTATATAATGAAAAGTCAAGCAACTTTCTCTTTGTTGTAGATAGTGGGTGTACCACTCATCTTACAAATGAACATCATTTGCTGATAAATGCACAAGGTCACAACTGAAAATCTCAAGTGCCAAGAAAGGTCAAGGTCTGAGTGCAACATTGTTGGAAACTATCGAAACAGATGCAGTAACACTGCAAGAAGTGTCCTATGTGCCTCTACTTTCCAAGAACTTACTGTCAGTAAATGCATTCATTGAAAACAATGGTGAGGTGATATTCAAGAAATAAGGTGTGACCATCTTCAAAAATGGCGAAGAAGTTATGCGAGGGCATAAAATCTCAAATGGTCTATTTGAAAACAATGGTGAGGGGATATTCAAAAAATAAGGTGTGACCATCTTCAAAAATGACAAGGAAGTTATATGCGAGGGCATAANCACCGAAAACAATGGTGAGGTGATATTCAAGAAATAAGGTGTGACCATCTTCAAAAATGGCGAAGAAGTTATGCGAGGGCATAAAATCTCAAATGGTCTATTTGAAAACAATGGTGAGGGGATATTCAAAAAATAAGGTGTGACCATCTTCAAAAATGACAAGGAAGTTATATGCGAGGGCATAAAACCTCAAATGGTCTATTTGTGGTTGACCTCAGTGCTAAATCATATTGTCAATCCTTACTCACTGTCCAAGAAGAACAAATGAAATGGCATCAAAAATTGGGTCATATCAATTTTGAGTCAATGAAGAAAATTCCAACTCTGTGTGAGGGAGTGCCATGCTCACTAAACAATTACAAACTTGAAACTGTATGTGAGACATGTGCCTGTGCCAATGTTATAAAAAAAAACCTTCAACACAAAACGTAAAAGGGCAGAGGCCACTTCAAATCATTCCCACGGATGTATGTGGGAAAATCACTCCACCCACATATGATAACAAGAATTATTTTATGACCATTATTGATGACTTTACCCATGTTGTGCAAGTCTTTCTAATGGAAACAAAAGATGAAGTGGAAGATCTACTTAAGGAATACATTGCTGCATCTGAAAATCACCACAATTTGAAAGTATCCAAAATCAGACTGGACAATGGTGGAGAATACCGCTCCAACAACTTCAAGGCTTGGTGCAAAGAAAAAGGTATTCATCTGGATTATACCATACCTCACACTCCAGAACTAAATGGAACGGCGGAAAGGATGAACTTCACTCTATGCAATAAAATGAGAGCACTGCTTCATCATGCTCATCTGGCAGATTATCTGTAGGTTACAGCCATAGAAACAGCAGCCTACCTTCACAACAGATCACCATCGATACCACTCCTATTGAAATGAAAATGAAATGAAAATGAAAAACCAAATCTCTCTCATGTTCAAGTCTATGGTTCATAATTATATGCCAAGAAGTTTTGGCACCTGAAGAAAACCGAATGTCGAGGAAAAAGAGGTATTCTGGTAGGATTCACATCTAATGGATATAGGATCTGAAATGAAGCTGAAAGGAAGATTTATCCATCTCATGATATCGTTGTAATTGGCATAAAAGACGTGAAAAATCCTGCACCGTCAGCTATCAAGATTGAAAATTTTATGAATTTATTCGAAGATGATGAACTAGCCCAAACTGATGAAGAACAAGAAGATCACCCAGAAGATCAAGAAAATCATCAGGAAGATCCAATTATAAATAAACCAGTTATAAAAGATGAAGAAGATCAAGATTCAAGTGATGAAGAAACTGAGTCTGAAGAGGAAGAAAATGAGGAACCTGAAAATGTTCCACTAAACCAAAGACCTCAAGGACAAGTCAGATTATCAAAGAAATATGAAGATCATGTTATGTTAGCAGAAGAATCTATTACCTACAAAGACTGTATGAAGAGTCATGAAAAAGAAAAATGGAAGACTGCTATTAAAGAAGGACAAGACTGCCTGCAGAAAAATCAGACTTGGGAACTGTGCTACGGGTAAAGAAATTTTGACCAGTCGCTGGTTTTTTAGAATCAAGTCAGATGGTCGCTACAGAGGCAGATTAGTGGCAAGAGGATGTCAACAGAAAAAGAATCTCGACTATCAAGAAATCTACAGCTCTGTTGTACAAGCAAATTCTTTTCGAATGCTCCTGGCCAATGCAGCCTCTGAAAATTTACAAATGTGCACCTTTGATGTAAAATATACGGGGATCTGCAACAAGAAATGTATATGCGTCTGCCTGAAGGATACAATGTTCATGGAAAAATCTGCAAGTTAAAAAAAGCTATCTATGGACTCAAACAAGCACCACAGCAATGGTTCAGACGGCTCACTGAATTCCTCAAACAAGATAGGCTGAAACAGTTATTGACTGATCAGTGTGCCTTCAAATCTACTCCAGGAAAGAAACTTTTTTTTTATCATTCATGTGGATGATGATCTCGTGATAGCTGAAGAT